AACCTAAATAGCTTTATATCAGTCGGGCATCTCAATAGAGACTATAGGTAGAACAGGTTTGAAAAGATCATCCCTTTGGAACAGTTCCTCAATATTATCGATTTGTTGCTCCATCTCAACTCCATTTGTACGTCTCTCGCTATAGTAAGCAATGTTGGCATATTCTTGTAATAGTGGACAAGCCCCTAATACAAAGGAACAGAAATCTTTGCGCATTCCAAACCACCCTTAAAAAATAAAAGAGACAAGTATTAATATTTCAATTTTTATAACATGAAACCATAGAAAAAACAAAAAATTTAAGAATTATTCAACATCAACATGTGACTGATATTACTCGAAAAAACGTTTACATGACTGTTCAGAAAAGGATCATTTAGAATATCATAAAAATACCAAATTTTCACTTACATTTATTTCCACCTTTGGCACTGAATGACATCAGAATTAAAGTTATGAAAGAAATGAAAAGAGGACTAACCACAGCTGTATATGATATCCTTATATCATCGTCTAGTTTGTCAGCTAATAATACCTGAAAAACAAAAAAAAGAAAATCAGATTGACATAAAAGAAGTAAAAGTATAACCACATTCCACCGCATTCAAAATCATGGAATGAACGCCTATTTCGAAAACTCATTTTTCTTTGAAAAAAATGTTTCATCTATCCGTTATTTCATTCAACTTACTTGAAATATAAGAATTGGAATCACTAAGAATGTATAACCTAGGGCTGAATAGAAACTGCTTCTTCTTTGTTGGGCATTAACTTCAGGAGTGCGTAATAAAATGGCAGCAAATATTATTGTATACAAAACTCCTACCTAAAAAGCATACATAGTTATGTAAAGATCATATTTATTGATAAACAGAACTGATTTTCATTATCAAAATAAAATTCATACCAATATATACAGGCCGTTTTTTTAGCTGATCCCACTATTGCTATGTCAGAAACGGTAAGACATTGGACAAAAGTTCCCTATTTTGAGAAACTAGAATAATTATTTTCATTTTTCTTTAACCTGTATTGTAATACATAGCTGAATTTGTTATTACAGTGCTTACAAAAATTGATGAGAAAAAGGTTCGTATTTG